CCGGCCACCCATCATGCTGAACGGCCTCGCCGTGTGGATCTTCTTCCACATCAGAAACAAAACCAGTTTCATATTTTACCTCAAGAACATCGTGGTTGCAGACCTCCTCATGACGCTGACGTTCCCATTCAAGATCATCCAGGACTCACAGCTGGGGCCGTGGCACTTCAACGCCTTCCTGTGCCGCTACACCACAGTGCTGTTCTACGCCAACATGTACACCACCATCGTCTTCCTGGGGCTCATCAGCATCGACCGCTACCTGAAAGTAGTGAAGCCCTTCGGAGACTCCCGGATGTACAGCATCACCTTCACCAAGATCCTGTCCGCCTGCGTCTGGGTCGCAATGGCTTTCCTGGCCCTGCCCAACCTGATCCTCACCAATGCGTACCCCACGCGCAGGAACGTGGACGACTGCCTGAAGCTCAAGTCGCCCCTGGGGCTCCAGTGGCACACTGCTGTCCTCTACATCCACACTGGCACCTTTGTGGTGGTGCTGGTGGTGCTGATTGGGTGCTACATTGCCATATCCAGGTACATTTACAAATCCAGCAAGCAGTTCATCAGCTCCTCGAGCAGAAAGCGAAAGCACAACCAAAGCATCCGGGTTGTTGTGGCTGTGTTCTTCACTTGCTTTCTGCCGTACCATTTGTGCAGGATACCCTTTACTTTCAGCCACCTAGATAAAATTTTGGACGACTCTGCACATAAAATCTTGTATTACTGTAAGGAAATGACACTGTTCCTGTCTGCATGCAATGTCTGTCTGGACCCAATCATTTACTTTTTCATGTGCAGGTCATTCTCACGAAGGCTGTTCAGAAAATCAAATATGCGAACCAGGAGTGAGAGCATCAGATCACTTCAGAGCGTCAGAAGGTCAGAAGTGCGCATATACCACGAATACACTGATGTTTGACATTACCCAGAGACTTTGGCTGATTTGTGAGAATATGTGTATATCTTGTAAATAAAATGTGTCTTTGAGTACCTGACCACGGAAGTTCAATAAGGAATGTGCAGACATGTACAGCTTTTCCATTCCAGCTTATAGAATCATTAAGGTTGGAAAAGACCTCCGAGATCACCCAGTCCAACCTCCAACCCAACCCCACCATGGCCACTAAACCATGTTCGTGTTCAAAATTAGTTATAACTTTGGCTGCTTTCAGCTCTTGGAAACAATCATCCTGTGTGGTAAGCAGCTGAAATTCATTTTTGGTGAACAGTTCAGCAACACCTTCAGGGTATTATTTCACACTGTGTTACACGCAACCAGAGCAGAGCCAACATTAAAGGAGAGAATCCAAAATCAAGGCAAGAAGAATGGAATAATAAAAGATCAACAGAGCAGCTGCAGTGTGGGGCTGCTGGCTGAGCTGGCTGGGGCACCCACGTCAACAGGTCGCTGAGAGCCACCATGGGGTCCAAGGGACCCACACCAATGGGGCGCTGAGAGCTACCATGGGGTCCAAGGCTGCTTTAGCAGCTCCTTCACCCTGGGACATGGCTTGGGGAGCAACCAAAATGCCCAGTTCCCTCCTCCAACAGAGGCCATCTCTCACCCAATGGGAATTTACCGCTGGAGAAGGCTATAAGAATGCAAACCAACAGTGTTTATGTGAATCATTGTCCTGTCCTTCACCAGGGATTAGCTCAGATTTGTTTAGAGTAAGAGCTGCTCATACAAAAAATAAACAGCCAACTTCAGAAATGCAGATTGTAAGGAACTGACGGGTGTTTTGAGCAATCAATTTTAGACCCATCTTGTGCAATGTAGTGCAGTTGAACAAACAGAAGATGGCAACAGTCCATCAAGTGCCTCATCCATATAAGGACTTTCCTTTTGATACAGAAAAAAATGGCTTGAGAGAAAAATCCTGAAAACGCAGCATTCAAATAACAAGATGAAATACTGCATGAGAACACCTTCCATCAAGTTTTCTACTGAAACAAGGTTGCTTTATTTTTTTTTTAAAAAACGCTGTTTGTTTAGTTTTAAATTCTGGTTTATGCAAAATTAAAAAGTTGAGTGTAAGTAGTATAACAATAGAATTATATCTTTGGACTAATGCATAATTATAAAACTACTTACATTGTTCAGGGGGAATCATTTCTGGAAAGGAAGACAAGATGTTCTGGATATTTATCCTACTAGTCACTTCTTTTTTAACTGAAGGCTGCATTTACACAGGATTTCCTCTTAGGAGAAACAGTACTGCTGTTCCCTAGTAAGAATTTTATACCAAAAAATACATTACCGAAAGCAACTGCATGCAGGATGATGCCCCTCAAAGAATGGCCTAAAGATGCTCCCCCAGCTCCGCACTGCCCAGGACGATCTGCTCCGAACCCTGACGGCTGGGATGCAAACAGCCCTTCTCTGTAAAATCACCCTCAAAATCAGTTTACTTGATCCTGACAGGATGTATCTGTGATAATCCTTCAGCGCTCGTTTATATGCGCACTTATGTATACAACTGTGCTTTGAAGAGCCTGTTTGGGAAATATTTTCCCAGGGCTAAAAGTTAATTATGAAATAATATCCTAGTCCCAAATACCAAATAACTCTATTTAATTTGTCTGGGTTTGACATGGAATTTTGGTCCTTAGCAGTCCTTCTTGCACGGAGCACACAACTCACCAACATTTGTGATTTCTGTCCATTTAGGAAGCTCTGCGTTACACTGTAACCAAGCAGCCCAGCCAGCACGCTCCATGCATGGGTTATTGTGGAAATGGTTTTGACCATGCACTTAGAGACAGCTCCAGCCCGATACCTGTGCCAGGTTTTGTCACTACCTATATGATGCCCTGTACTTAAGGTTTCTCTAGCAATAACCTCTACTGTGGCTTCCCACCAGTGCAGCTTCCGAGGCATCTTAAAAAGGAAACTAAAACCCCCAAATCTAATAATATCTTCGTACTGACACAAGCTGGAATCTCACAAATTAAGCAATCATAATTGCATGAGTAGAGCAATCATGACAGGGCAAAAAATGTGCGTCAGCCCCATCTTTGGCTCTGCCTCCGGACCCTGCACCCCCCATAAGGAAAATGTCAGCGCTGAGCAGCCGTGGTGCCACCGAACCCGGTTAATGCCCCAGGGACGGCGATTCAGACATGTCCCTGTGCGGCCTCCAAGGGCTGCTCAGCAACGACGCAGACAGCAAAACCAGAACCAGCTGAAAGCATTTGCCGGCAGCTTTGATGGGGCAGAAAACAAAATCCAGAAGTCCTGCGGTGCTTCTGTGATTAGTGTGCCTTCCAGTGGGATTATTCTATAAAAAATATTTACCTTATCATCCTGCTTTTATCAGCTCACAGAGCCTGGCCACAGATACAACACAATCCGTGCGCCTGCACATGTAGTAGGGTTGGAAGCACTATTTCATCAGAAGGTTTTTGTAATGGGTACAGACCTATAAGATTCGTAGTCAGAGATATTGCTTATATACGGCAATGGTTTGCTGGCGTAAGAGCCTTCATTTAGAAAGAAACGAGTCTGAACCTGTCAGCCCCCTCCTGAAGCAAAGGTGTCAGAGCTGCCACCCCAGCCTGCACGTCTGTCCTCTGGGACACCACGAACGGGATCACCCCCAGCAGCGCCTCAGACACCAGGGATGCTCCAACACCATCCACCTGGTACAGAAATCCATCAGCGTGACCATAAGAAAGGTTCCCCTTCAAAGGCACTGAGCTGAGAAAAAAAGGTTGAATTATTTTCTTAATAAAATGACAGCTAGGCCAGCAGAAGTGAATTTTGGTTTCTGGGGGATGAAAGAGACTTGGATGGCTAAGGGTAAAACACGTTATCAGTTTGTTCTTAGGCCACCAAAATATCTGACAGACAGCAGGGGTCTTCTCCCAGCCATGCTCACCACTTGCTTTCTAACCTTTTGGAAACAGCAGCCATATCTTTAGATCCTTAAACACTCAATTTGGCTGACATTTTGGAAAAGTATCCATGTTTGCATAAGAAAGGGACACTGCAGTTTGCCCAGAGCCATTCCAGAGGGTGACACCGTGCACAGCGGAGCCGTCCCACCCGCCCCCTTTAAGCTCTTAATCCTCTGCCCCAGACAACTGCTTACTCCTCCCTGAAGCACGCAAAAAATGATCTGTGCTGCAACATTGAATCCAGCACAGAATGGACGCTTACGCCTGAAAAAACTGCACTTCTCCTTCTTTTGAGATTTCACAAACTCGTGGGGAGCTGCAGTTTTCAGTCTTTTACTGGAAGCAGCATTGTGACTGACGTACTTAGTTCTGGTTTAACAATTCTAACGAGTTTTAACCAAGAATAGCATTTCAACCCAAAAAGCGCAGCCTTGCTATCAGGCAATCCTACTATGACATCACTTCAAAATACAAACTAAGAAAAAGTCATCCCCAAAGCTGCGCACCCTTGGATTCTGTCTCCTTTCAGCATATTATCATCTTTAAATCACTTCACACCAATGGCTATGGAGCTTGAACCATCTGCTGCACCATGGGACCTGCACAGCTTCTCAGAGAGAAGCCACATGGCAACCAAAAACCAGTGCTACCCCAGCTGGTGCTGGCGAGGCTTGGACCTGCCCAGCCTTTTTCCCTTTCCACGCACACTGCTCCTCATGACCCCAGCGGGGACGACCAGGGACACATCAGCCTTCTGCCTGTTGCACCCATTGGTGCCAGCGCTGGGTGCAGGGACTCTGCACAGGAGAGCAGCGAGGCCGGCATGGCCCCCCAGCCCGCACCGAACACTGCATCGTGTTTCCAGCATAGGGACACTCATGGGAAACCCCAAACAATAAATAAAACGGGGAAAAAATACAACAGGAAGAAAGCGAATCAAGAGGGTGACAGGAGCTGTCCCTAACTGGACTGGACACGTGGTGGCTGTTTAAAGCCACTGGAACAGCTTTGAGCATCTGATATGAAAAGGGGCATTTTGAAAGCTGCTTTTAAGCTTTTCCTCCTTTGCCTCAATTACACCAAACACATACAAAATTGTGTTCTTCACTGGCTTTTAGAGGCAAACACAGTTATCTTTATCTCCTTCTGGGCAATAAAGCTAGGGAGTTACAGCATTAAACTGCAAGCCGGAGCCACAGGGTCACACAGCCCAGCCAAAGATCCCACTCAATTTATTTTAAAATACTTTGGGTTAAACTCCCCAGCAATATTTTGCAAAGCACAGAAAACAATGCCTGATATTGCAAGACCTGAATGGTCACTTTTGACTTCAACCTAAAGAAACTTTCCCTCCAGAAAGACTGGATTTAGGACTCTGTTGAAGGACAGGCTGCATTTAACAACTTTTCCATACTCTCATTCTGGAGATGCAAGTACATTGCCTAAGTAGAGCCAAACAGAAATTGCTTTAAAAAAGGTCTCCTGAAGTTTCAGCGGGCATTGCTCTGAAAAGCCAGACCAGAGATGGAAACAAAGGCTGCCCGTGCAGAGCGCCTTGGGGCACGGGGCTCTGGTTGTCACTGTGTCACCACAAACCAAATCAGCCTTCCAAAACCGAACCTGCTCCCATTAACGCGCCTGGTGGAAATCAACTGCAGCACCAACTTGCACGGATGGATTGCTACTCCGAGTTATTCAGTACAAATTATTTACACAATATTCTGCACTGGTCATAAGTCTGGTGCTAGCATTGTTTTCCTCAGAGGAACAAAGTTGGAACACAACTACAGGTTGTTAAGCACTCGCTCACCCAGCACCCAACCCATGAGTGCTTACTTTGAGCTCTGTTACACAAAGCTGAAAACAAGCCCAAACACAGCAACTGGCACTGCACGAGCTGCTCCCTGCACCCCACACTCAGCTCAGCAGCACGGCCATAGGCGCTCACACCAGACAGCTCCCTGTTCACACTAGCCGGGCTGACAGAAACAAGATGCTCCACTTTCTGTCTCAAAGCAC